CAGCATCACTAGAGTGAAGAGATTCAGTGTTTCTGTTATTGGTGAGTGTATAATTCAGTTATGCAAACTCCTTTGAGGAACGTAAAGAACAGTTCAATATTTTAAATCAACCCAATAAGTGTTGGCTTTGACTCAATGGCCCTTTAACTAATGTTATTAACATTCAAAATGCAGTTTTCCTGCGAACTGTTGATCTTTTCCTGTTGATCTCTCAACATTCAAAATCCCACAGTTAAACAGAGCTGTATTAATAATTTATTGAAACTAACTAGTTCTTTTTGAGCTGGATGATTTCCCAAAGTCCAAGATGCTCGACAGGCTGAAATATTTTCACACTTGGTGAATGCTTCACATTGAGGTCCACAGTCTTCTGCATGTTCAAAAAGTAGTATTAGCAAAAAGGCTAAAATCATTGAAAGTCAAAAGGAGAAAAAAAAATTCCCTCACTAATGTCCAGGTTTATGTGATGTGGATGTTGCCTGACGGTTTCTCTTTCACTGGCTCGTGGGGCTAAGAAAAGCAGGGTAAAACAAGGTTACTATTGTAAAGTCATGGTTTATAAAAGAAAGCAATGCAGCATAACTATTGGCTACTGACCTAGAATAGCTTGTCCCACGTCAGACAGGATATCATCTTCAATTCCATGAGTTCTGTGACCACGTTGCAGCTGTACTTCCAGAAGCTTCTGGTTTGTGGATGTGTTCTTATGATGAATGATGTTGCGCATCATAAAGATATGTGCTGATGGTGCCATGTTGTTCATGTAGCCGTTGTTAGTAATTGCCGTTGGTATAATGACGGGGCGGGTCTATTTCGCATGATTTAGTTGGACTATAAAGCAGCGCGGCAGCGTCTTTGGGATGTGCGTCCCATCGTCACGTTATCCCTTAAGGGGGTAATCCATCCGCCGGAAATTGAAGCTTCCTCTGGGGGCCGCCAGGCTATCACCCCCTGTTAGCATCCCATTGACTCCCATTCATTTTGGCGTCACTTTCACAGCGAATAACTTTACATCTGAGGCGTCCAAAGACTCCATTTGTCCATTATTTATTTCTTAAGAAACGGGACAATGGATAAAAGGCTCCATTACTTTGTATCTTACGTTATGGCCCCGTAGAAGCCGTTTCTGTAAAAATAGGCTAAAGATTGCGTCATAACCACGGGACTATCTGTCGCTCAGTAGAGAAATTACCGTATAGACAGAAGGAGAAGCTCGTAGGCAATCTTTTACTGTCTATGAGGCAATCGGGTGGACATAGAGGTATAAAGTCAAGGGAGAAGCCCATAGATAGAGAGTTCATAAAAGCAACGGGACAAAATATTTCAACAACAGATTTGTTTCAGATTTCAATTCAGATTTGTCTTGGCACAGCTACTAGAAGGTCAGAACGGTTGCTCACGTGACTGTCACGGATCCCATCAGCAACGACACACCCCAACCAAACTCAACTCAGCGCACCTGGTCTCGCTCATCATCTCCGGAGTTCTGATCAGTTCCACCTGCATATCATCATCATCATCACTCACCTCTGTAGCTTGCTGCTTATAAGGCCCTGTCACTTTCACTCAGCGTCCGGTCACGTCTATACGTTACCCAGGACTCTCTGGTTCCAAACCCTGGTTCTAGAATACTCCTTTTGCAAAGTATTGTCAGTCTCATGCTAACAACCTATCTGTGTCTCCTAAAGCAGCTTCAACGTGGAGATCGCCCTTGAATCATTCAGCTCCATTCACCTGTGCTTCCTTTGATCTGGAAACTTCACAAATCATCTGGTGATCGATCTGTTACCAAGGACTGTTCCAGGAAAAGTATATCCAGTGTGCTGAGTATATCTGATTGTATCTTGTGTCTTCTGTTGTCTTGGAGCTTGCATTACGGGTCAAATAAACAGTGTATATTCTACTTCCGTATTCTCGTCCTTCAGTAAACTGTGACAGTGCAGACTGATCTCATGAAATGGCGTATGTATGACACGCCAATTCGTATTTCCATTTTTGGCGTGCTATCAACACGCATAATCGCTTTTCAGCGTGTTTATCAACGCCTTTGACTTAACGTTATATTAATGTATTATGTATATATAAATATATGACCTACCCCAACACCGTCCCTAAACCTACCCGTCACTGGGGTTAATTCCATTTATGAGTCTTCCCCTACCATCCTAGGAAAAGAAATATCGCTCCACAGATGTAGGTATAGATTTTGCTTCGTTTCGCTCGGACATTTAACGGCGTACACATACACGCGGAATCACTCGGACATTTAATGGCGTAGACATACACGCAAAAGATTTCGGCGTGGACATACACGCGGATACCTCAAAATGCGTATAGATAACACGCCACTTGAATTGAAAGTGGCGTGTATGTTTACGCAAAGTCATGATGTCATGTTGGACAGTGACATCTACGTCGTCAAGCTCAGTTTGAGCCTGCGCAGTACGCTTGGCTATCAGGAAGTGAGTGCTTCAATGGGCTTCAACTTTCTCCGTTTAAATCTATGGGGTCGCTTTGTCCATTTCTTTTACTGTCTATGGCATAAGGTCTATAGGGACGTCCCGCGTGACGTCACGCCATTTGGAGCAGCCATTTTGACGGAATAGAAAATGATAGACCGCCGGTGATAATACAGCTCGTCGCGAAATATTCCTATCATGCCCGAGCAATGCTGTGCAGTTGGATGCGATCAGATACGTGGTCATACAAAAGGAATACCTTTATACCGTATCCCAAAAGAAACAAAACGGAGAAACAAGTGGTTGGAGGCAATAAACAGGCAAAACGCATACATGCATTCCTAGATCAGTTAATTCATTAGGCGTATAATTATCACATTTAATTCTTTCGTTTTCAAATACCAAAAGCTGATCTTGTATTTTATTTGACACTTCTTATAAATCGTTAGAAACACAGGTTGAGACAACAGTCTCAATGACAGTTTATCATACTACAGTGACAGTCAGTGTTTGGTAGCCTATAAAAAAGTGTATAAGCTATTATTTCGTTTTTCTTGGATCAAACTAGATTAAACAAATTCATTTAAGATACACTTAATCTTGTTGGGGATTTTGTTTTGTGTTTTCCCCTGTAAACAAATTTATTACAGGTACTATAATTTGGTGATAAAAATACACTGACCAACCTTTGCGGTGATGATTGAAAAATCCTTTTCTTTTAATGAAGAGATTTTAATGAAGCTCCGGTGTAGCGTGATGGGACATGAATAAGGTAGCTGTGTAATGCCACAGAACTCAATGTCAGGAAGTTTTTCTACACATTTAATGCCTGTAAAAAGAACTTGTGGTGCTTCATATGGATATATGATTCCTAATTCCTTTATCTTCCTCTTGTACCGTATTTTCCGCACTATACGGCGCACCGGATTATAAGGCGCACCTTCAATGAATGACCTATTTTAGAACATTTTTCATATATAGGGCGCACCGGATTATAAGGCGCATAAGATACTGCAGTCAAACGTTTGACTGGGTTTGCGTTATGCATCCACTAGATGTCAACAAATCTCAACAAAACAGTCAGATAAAGTCAAACTTTATTAAGCGTTCTGACAACTCCGTTCACTCCCATGGTAACGTTGTTCAAACGTTAAAGGAAAACTCCGGTCAATTTTAACATTGAGCTCATTTTTTGTAAATTTGGAGTGCTGTCAGTACAGATAACAACGACAAAAGCCGGTGTTGCCTACACCGTGTTATCCTCTTTTTAAAATTTGCACCCTGTTGACTTAAATGGGAAAAGTTTTAAACCTGCTTTTAGCCTCTTAACAACCTTAATGTGTCATTACAAGTGCACAGCCATGTGAGTGAACACAGTGAATCTGACCCCAGTAAATGTGAAAGATATGAATAAAAATGATGTTTATTCAGCCAGCTCACATACCCGTATTTTCTTCCTGTTTTCGGTCGAAGTCCACAGTAGGCGATTGTCGAGCGCGCGCGCGCGATCATTGGTAACTAAGCAACAGTGGAGACTCAGACTGTCAGCCGATGACGGTGCTGTGTGGTGTTCTCTATGTGAGAATATCAGCTAAAATGGATAGTTCGGATTCGGAGATGTTGAACACGTGGAGGAGGTTTGATCGCGCGCGGGCGAACTCGACAATCAACTACTGTGGACTTCGGCCGAAAACAGGAAGTAAATACGGGTGTGTGAGCTGGCTGAATAAAGAGATTATTCCTGCCTGCAGCCTTCGTGAAAGCTCGGATCACAGGAGACTGATATATCAGCCCAGGCATCCACGATCCATTGCCAGATAGTGTCGATAGAAGTCGGCCGGCGCTGTCTCCGCGTCTTGGTGAACGTGTGTTCACCATCCATATATAAGCCGCTCCGCATTATAAGGCGCACTGACGTTTTTTGAGAAAATTAAAGGCTTTTAAGTGCGCCTTATAGTGCGGAAAATACGGTATATATTTTTGTGATGCTATAATAAGTGCGATGACGTGGTGGGGGGAAAATCGATTCTGTTCAGTATCGAGATATTTTGCACCATGATTTTGCGCATGCAATTATATCAATACTGTACCGCAAAGTATTGCAATATTTAGGCTAATTATACTAATAATTATATTATTAGTATAATAATATACCAATAATTATATTATTAGTATAATATACTAATAATATATTTTACCCACCACAGCATTGCCCCTGAGTAGCTGACGGATGTATTCCGTCAAAATGGCTGAAACGCGGCTAGGGGTCACGTGACTGGGAGATCCCTATAGTGTGGACTGAGGACTCCGGTGACACATTATAGCGACGTGCATTGCAATAGGATGTTTTAGTGCCGCAAGTTCAACCGGTAGGTTGTTTTTATTATTACTCGTGTTATTATGGGGTGGGTTAATTAATCTTTTCCTTATCTTTCCGTGATATGACAGAGTGCGGGACGTTGCAGTGAGCTTTCTGGTTGCTGCTCTCTTTCGCTAGTGCTGCTTTCTTTGTTGCTGTTCTGATTGTTGAGATTTGGGCGGATGAATCCTCGCATGACGCAGGGTGCTGCCTGCAATACAGACCGTCAGATCGACTGCGCCTTGTCTGTGATCAGTGCTCGCGTGCTGTTGTGTGGCGTTTGCCGATATTACGTGCGAGTTCCGAAGCTGGACACTTTAAACGTCTGCTGGAGTGGCCGCCTGGTGTGTCGCAGATTCGGCAACGTAACTCGCTCTCTCTTCCTCCACAAATCCACGAAACGGTTTGACCATTCACTAGCCATTGTCAAGATAGAAAGTTATTTTGTGTTTTAATGTTTTAACCCTCTGGGGTCTGAGGTGTTTTTGGTGTCCTTGAGATGTTTTGATATGCCCTGACATTTGTGCTTTTTTCAGTTGCTTATAAACATATTAATGGCACAGGTGAAATTACACTATTTAGCACAAACAGGACTACAATAATATGTTAGCAACATGTATGTACATCTTTGTATTTTTGAGAGAATATTGTTTATGCGTGGTTATTGAAAAAGCTAAAAAATAAAGTTTCAGATATAAGAACACAAAATACATACTAAATATCTGTCCACAAGACTTTTGACTAATGGATGTAGTCGCCTAGAGTTTTTGCTTCAAAATGATCTGAAAATCATCCTGCCTAATTATTCACATAAAACAATACATTACTTTACATTTTTTGACACACTTTTTGTTTGGAAAGCCAATATGCGCAGGGGCGTGACTTGCTGTGAGAAAGGCGTGATTCCCACCTGAGAAGACAATGGCCCCGCATAATGAGGCTGCATACTAATGAGCCTTTCATTCAGGTGTGTCACTGAGCCACAAGAATGCAAGGACAATATATATAAATAAATATACATACATACATACACATACACACACACACACACACACACACATATATATATATATATATACAATCAAAATATAAATGAAAGTCAAAAGCACATTTATCATGGTCAAATAGGCTATATGGGCCATTCTACAGAATTGGTTCAAAACATCTTGAAAAGAAAATGGTCTTCTTCCATAAATGTCTTATAAAGTATTATTTTTTAAAGTAGGCCAATGCATTTTATCACGTATTTCAAAGTTAAGGATTCATTATTTTGATATAGCTTGCATTGGAACAAACACTATAACAGTTGATTAGTTTATTTGTGACAAAACATACTATATATTTAGGCGTATATCACGATTAGAAGAAATCTCAGTAGGCTATAGCAATATAGTTTGGATGTGTTCATGTAAAAATAACGTTTATAGACTAGGAGCGAGAGTGAATGAACGGCACAGATGATGGACAGCTGTAGTAACATCGCGCGCGCGTCTGTGCCATTCATTCATTCATTCACACACAGACACGCAATTCATATATAAACAGTCTTTGTGCAGTTTGCATACACTATTCAATAACACGATTAGAACAAAGCACTTAAGAATAAATAACTTACTTCATCAGCTGAATCCGCGGTGCTTCTTCTGACCACTTCTAAGGTAACTTTTCCAGAATAATTAAGATAACAGCGCGCAGCAAGACGAGGTAAGTAGCCTACAAGTTTCTTATTAACCCTTGTGTGGTGTTCATATTTTTGTTATTCAGCCAGTGTTTGTGGGTCTGGTGGACCCGCTGCATTTTTGGGTTTTTAATTCAACATAATCAAACAATTTATGTTAAAATACTCAACAGATGTTTACTTCATCCCAATTACAAGCAATATAAACAGCATATATGGTTAATATTTTCCCTTTACCTTTGTTAGATCACATTTAAGAATTGCAACCTTGTGCGGGAACGGCAGGGGTAGAAACAACTCACTTTTGCACTCACACTCTCTCACACTTACACACAATCTCTCTCTCTCTCTCTCTCTCACATGCATGCACACACACACACACACACACACACACACACACACACACACACACACACACACACACACACACACACACACACACACACACACACACAAACACACTCACTTGGATATGTGGTTTATGGGGACTCTCCATAGGTGTAATGGTTTTACAAATGTACAAACTGTATCATCTACCCCCCTACACTAACCCTACCCCTAAACCTACCAATCACAGAAAACTTTTGGCCTTTTTGGAATTTCAAAAAACACCATTTAGTATGTTTTTTTTAAGCTGTTTGGTTTATGAGGACACAGATGTCCTCATAAACCATGTTTTTTGTCTAACCCATGTCATTATACACATTTGTGTCCTCATAAACCATACAAGAACACACACACACTAACAGCAAGCCCTGACAGGAGGAGGACAGAGTAAAGGTACACAGGACCTAAAATTTCCACACTTTTATTAGCCCCGGGTCCAGTGGACCCGAACATCCTGTGTGTAATATAAATGTGTAGGGGGGGTGTACAGTGTGTGGTCATTGAAAATGTGTTCGGATATATGTTCTTCACAGAAAATGAGCCAAGGCCAATGAGTCTGAGGTTGAAAAAATTATTAATTGTATAATTTTTCTTTAGATAAAAAATGAAAACGGGTCCTACAGACCCGAACACCATACAAGGGTTAAACTGGATGTTTTATCCAGCTGATGTGGGGGCGTTAACAGCTTGCCTCAGATCATTTGCGTTTGAATAGCGCGCGTTCTCCGTGGGCGTGTCAGATTAAGCGTAATGAGGTGTAATGAGCTGGGGAAAAAAATACTGACAGCACTCTCTTTTCATACAGATTACATAAACTGAGAATATTTGTTTTTTATATAAATTACTTCATTTAAAAGAAGAGAATTCAAGACGTAGAATTGACGCGTTGTTACATTTTTGGAGAGGTGCACGTGAGGGTGCGTATCCACTTGTCCGCGCGACACTTCTATCGTGCCGCGCTTCGCTTTATTCCTATGGGTGACGTCACGCGACTTTGACGCGCACGCAAAGCATTCCGGGAAGGCGGCGCTTCATTTAGAAAAACGTTGCGCGTCAAAAAGCTGGCCGAAGCCCATCTTTATGCAAATTAATTCCGTTGAACGCGACGCGACTATCCAATAGAAGTAGAGCATATGGAGACGGGGGGAAGTCTCTCACAGGTCCTCTGTTCTAGACTGGCCGCTGGCTCAAAACAACGCCCATAGCGGTAAACTTGAGGAACGCCCATCAATGTACAAATGTGGGGAGGCGTCGCGACGCAAAAGTGGATCTCTACCATCAGGGTAGGGTACGACGTAGGGTACGCGCGCTACGCACAGCCTACGGCGTAGCTACGACGTAAGGTCGACGCAGAAGTATAAATTGGGCTTAAAGTGTGTATGTCAGGTTAAATTTTTTTTTTTTATATATTAAATAAGGTTTAGATGTCTGAGTGAAAATGTAATTATCATTAAAATTATTACTGTAATTGCCCTACAGTAAGCTTTATAGCCATTTCTGTCAAGATCATATTTTTAAAACGCAGCTAAGCTGTGACGTCAGAAGAGGGAGACGTGCCAAAAAGTTCTATTCAAGTATGGAGCGTTTTGAGTTTGAGGAGATCCAAAATCCCCCTCAAACCTACGATGGCCACAGCCATGCAATTTTGAGACTCCCAGGCGTGAGACAGATGAGGAGCCAAACAGAAATTTAAATAATTCCTATCGAAGAAACATAAATATCTGGTGTGAATAGAACCAGTGGAGAGTTGGTCAGGTGTCTTGGCATAACTTAGATGGGTAGTTTGAACCGAAACGGCACGGGCGTGACGGTTCGGTGCATGAATATACACGGAGAATACCATAGACAGTATAGGAGAATACGGTATAAAAATAAATAAAACTCGCGTGCAAATTAATTAATGCGTAACTACTGTTAGATACGCGGGTTATTTAAGGACACCTAATCCGCCTCAGCTCTGAAGCTCCGTCGCTATAATGAACAGGCTGCGATGTCAAGATTGCAATGCTGGAATATGTTGGTTGGTGTGTGTGTCTGTGTGTGTGTGAGAGAGAGAGATAGAGAGAGAGGCACGGGCGCGATCGAACAGTGGAAACATAGACACATGAATCAAAACGATAAGGTATGTTTTTATGTGGGCATTGCTGAAGCAAATACAGCAGTCAACAATACATCCTTGAACACAAACGGACTAATGCTATTTTACTGCATTTTTAAAACAGAAAGAGAATAATGCGAAACTCTAAAATTACAACATAATGACAGGTTGTTGACTATGATCACAACGCAAAACGTTAGCTAGGTAACGTTAATTGCTAGAATTATGAGTAAGGCCATACGTATTTTTGGCATCAAATCGTGTTTTCACATAAACCACGCAATTATCTTTTAACGTTACACTTAAAGTGTGTATGTCAGGTTAAATTTTTTTTTTAGATATATTAAATAAGGTTTAGATGTCTGAGTGAAAATGTAATTATCATTAAAATTATTACTGTAATTGCCCTACAGTAAGCTTTATAGCCATTTCTGTCAAGATCATATTTTTAAAACGCAGCTAAGCTGTGACGTCAGCTGTGACGTCAGAAGAGGGAGACGTGCCAAAAAGTTCTATTCAAGTATGGAGCGTTTTGAGTTTGAGGAGATCCAAAATCCCCCTCAAACCTACGATGGCCACAGCCATGCAATTTTGAGACTCCCAGGCGTGAGACAGATGAGGAGCCAAACAGAAATTTAAATAATTCCTATCGAAGAAACATAAATATCTGGTGTGAAGAGAACCAGTGGAGAGTAACGGTCAGGTGTCTTGGCATAACTTAGGTGGGTAGTTTGAACCGAAACGGCACGGGCGTCACGGTTCGGTGCATGAATATACACGGAGAATACCATAGACAGTGTGGGAGAATACGGTATAAAAATAAATAAAACTCGCGTGCAAATTAATTAATGCGTAACTACTGTTAGATACGCGGGTTATTTAAGGACACCTAATCCGCCTCAGCTCTGAAGCTCCGTCGCTATAATGAACAGGCTGCGATGTCAAGATTGCAATGCTGGAATATGTTGGTTGTGTGTGTGTGTGTGTGTGTGTGTGTGTGTGTGTGTGTGTGTGTGTGTGTGTGTGTGTGTGTGTGTGTGTGTGTGTGTGTGTGTGAGATAGAGAGAGAGACACGGGCGCGATCGAACAGTGGAAACATAGACACATGAATCAAAACGATAAGGTATGTTTTTATGTGGGCATTGCTGAAGCAAATACAGCAGTCAACAATACATCCTTGAAAACAAACGGACTAATGCTAT